CCTGGAAAAAAAAAGATAATTCTTGGATATATAGAACTCTCCACATGATAGCTAATGTGATAAGGTAACTTTCAACAATAGCAGATCTGAATCGAATCCAATTTACCACCTCTGGCGCGAAAATATTCCTTTTTTGCGACCTTGTTCCCACGCTCCACGTGAATGAGGCGGGAGTATTCCATGAAATTTCAGGGTTTATCTTGAAAGTAAACAAGAATAGCGAAGCCTTACTAGCTTCTGCAATGAATTCTGACCATTCTTCAATTTTTTTGGCGTATAAACGCCCTAGCATTTATGCGCATTCTTCGAAAATAGGGAAAAACTGCTTTGTCCCACGCGGCAGACACGCGAAAAGGCGCCTTGTCGCCAATGTGTTAAAAGAAAATGAAATCTCGAAAAGCAGAGATGCCCACCTTGAGTCCACCACTTCCAAAGAGCACCACATAGTCGATCTGGGGCACCTCTTTCGAAATGTGATCCAGTAATGGTTGGAATGGTGCGATTGTATTGTAATCATGACAAGCCAACTGGAAAATATTTAATTTGGAACACAAATAAAACCATTGTAAAGAGCAGTAAGAAATAATTCCAAAATCAGCCTCTTACAAATGATTCCGGGGAACACAAAAGTTTAGTAGACTGAAATGACCTATTTCAAGGAGAACATGAAAGTGCTCTGACAAGGATACCTGGGTGAATGGTATCTCCGGCATGAAGATTATAGTGGACTGACGAATTATATCTTCAACGCCTTCAGCACCTGGTGTTTCGCACCATTTTGACATCATCTCGTAAACAAGAGTCTCCGTTCGCTAGAATAGTTCTCATAGCAGAATATTCGACAACTGAGAACTATTCACATTCTCTATACCTCAGCTGGTCAAAGAGCTTCACCCCACCTCTCCCCTCAGGAGAGCGCAAACGACCACAGTATTTTTTATTAGAGCCAGAGTGGGCAATAAATATCATAATTCGATCGGTAAATCCCAAAAAACCGCGGCAAGTTTATCACAATTTCGGTGAAATGGCGCCTGCATCATTCTAGCGCCAACAACATTGCGCATTCGTAAGCGGACCATCAGGGACCTTTTATAGGTATAAAAGCTCATCTTAAAGACGCATGGTGGTCACACATAGTTTGGTGTGCGTGACTATCAGCCCCCCAGCTGTCGAAGCGTAGCGGTTTCCCCGTCCTAACATGCGCAGGAATGGAGATACAGGACCGTGAAACACGCTAATTCCTCCATGCTCCGCCCAATGCCTTTTGCGGCGCAGACTTCATGCTAACAGCCGTCCGCGCGGCGCGTGTCGCGCTTTTGGCACTTTGCCAAGTCCTGTAATTGCGCTTTGGAATACAAGTAAAACGCAATTTCCTGATGCGGATAACATTTTAGGTGCTGCAAAATAAGAACCGAAGATGATGACGAGGGCCAGAACTCAAGAGCAACTGTGCTGCTTCTGCAATATCCCTCAGAGGCCGCGCATTCCCACAAAACATGAAATAAACGGCCTAAGCGTCCCACTCGTTAGTTTAAAGTATTTCTATGGCTTTGGAGCCGGAATCGCGCCGAATTGCAGAAATTTACACGCGATTTCAATTAATTTGCATTTCCTTAATTTTTTCATTTTTGTTTTATTTACATCTACATTCGTTGTTCTTCATTTCTAGCCTTTGTCATCTTCATCACCGTCAATTCGCTGCCATCAGAGCTGCAGAAGGCGTCAAGTACCTTGGTTTTTAAGAGGAAACTTAAGGAAGTTGACATACCGACTATTGTGGGCATTCAAGATTTTTGAAAGTTTAGGGTCTGGAGGGTCTCCGCTTGTGAGTATTTGTGTTGCCAAATTTGTTGATGTTCTCGTTACTTTTCTTTGTATTGCTTTGTTTTGTAACTTATCTGGTTTCGCTCATACTGTAGCGCACCCGTGAGTGTATGATAATAAATAAATAAATAAATTTGGACTATGCAGCATAAGCAACACCTCAAATGTTATCCGCATCAGGAAATTGCGTTTTACTTGTATTCCAAAGCGCAATTACAGGACTTGGCAAAGTGCCAAGAGCGCTGCGCGCGGACGGCTGTTAGCATAAACGGGAGTCTGCGCCGCAAAAGGCATTGGGCGAAGCATGAAGGTGTTCCACGGTTATCTCCATTCCTGAGCATGTTAGGACGGGAAAACCGCTATGCTTCGACAGCTGGGAAGCTATAGTCACGCAGCCCGAAACTATGTGTGGTCGTACCATGTGTCTTTAAGTTTGGTGGACACGGTAGGCTGGTCTGGGCTAAATGATGCCAAAGTCCGGACTATTTGGTGCCAAATAGGCTGACTGTGCTCTAGTCGATCTAGCCTGGGTTAATCGGTGACAAAGTTGCTGGCTCCGAAAGCGAATGTGATACTCGTAATCAGGGTACTAAATAACCACTCGAATCATTCCGGAAAAAAGGGATCTAGAAAAGTAGTAGTTCTGAGATTTTTCTATTGGGATTCATCCAACGTAAGTGTTGATCCATTCTTTTGAGGAACACTTAACCACTCTTGTCCGTAGGTTCTAAAGAAACGTCTCAAAACAATTTTGTAGGCACGCCATATTTATTTTCTTACAACGTGTAGCCCTGCCCACAGGCATGAGGCATGTACAAATTCAGAACCGAGAAATACAAAAGCGCTACCCGTTCGCGACGGATCCATAGCCCCGCCCAGTGGCCACTGCGAAGCCCACCCTTTAATTAAGCAACCTGATTGTGCTGTTGTTCCGTTACCCTCTCCATTTTGAATGGTGAGAATGGGAAGACAAGAGAAGCAGTCGGTACGAACAAGTAAAAACTCGTACGACCACGTTCTTCGCATGTACAAATGCGCTTCGGCGCGGGGTTCTATAGGAGACAATTGGGGGGGGGGGTACTGTTTACTTTTTATTTTGATTATTCACCATCTTGTGAGCATGCCACACAAATCATCATTTTTGAAAGCACTTTAAAGTATCCGTTTCTACATGCGAACTAACCTTTTCGACAGCCATAATCAATGTGTAAGGCGGTTCTCCGTTACCCATACGATACAACTTTAATAAATGATTTTTTGTGGGCACGGTAAACAAACACTCTTTCTTCTCCAGAACTGGTATCGAGGCACTAAAATATAAAAGACGCTGTCAATGCAGTGGTGAGAAGCCTGATAGTATGCTGAAACGAATAATACCTCCGAACAATAAATAAGGGTGAAAAAACCTCGTTTATCTCACCTTGTTACCATCACTGTTTGATCAGGCGTAAAATGATCGGCAGGGTTCGCTGACGGAACCACAGAGTACTCTTGAACAACATCCAGCGTAACTGTCTTCTTAAGCATCTAAAAAACCATTAAAACATTCAGAGCGCTCCATTAATGTTGTACGTTCATATAAATCATTTCTTCATACTTACAACAAACATGTTATTCAAACAGAAAAAATCCTATGTCATTAATCCTCATTCAGTTGATCGGGCTTGAGAAAGTCGACGTTTTAAACTACGGGGAATCATGATCTACTCAAAAATTCGAAGCTCACTCACATCCACAACTGCACCAACAGTGGCAGCTTTTTTCTCCAAGTTCGTGGAGTTGTCACAGCCAAGTGCGATTCCCAGCTCAAAAGCCGAATGCAGTCTCAAATCATCCATAGCTAAAGCGACCTTGGCATCGCGTATCGGCCTGAAAACCACATTCTGTTGAACATCAAGGATTACCTCCGCGTTCAAATACACAGGCCACAGAGCCAAATTCCGTGTTCTCACTCTATCTTTCACACTACGACCGCATTTCCGATTTCTTTTACTGAGTGTTGTGAACAAGAATCGCTCAGCGGATCGTCGATGAGATTAGCCCATTAATTCCATGCCGTGTGATCACAGGATTTTCACGGAGGAATGGTGAAATGACTATCGTGTTGGTTAGCACATCATACCAACAGGGAAGAACTCAAAATACGATCCCCGACATCCGTCAAGGGAGAAAGGTAGAATGAATATGTAGCGCATCTGAAACCGCAAAAATCTCCAATGAAAAGTCCTTACGACCAACTCTTCACCATAAATGCCACTTCCCTTGACGGTCAAGGGTTTCTCAAAGGCAGTCCCCTAGCTCGACCAATTCATAGTAGTTCCTTGTTCAGGCTGTCTGGTCCGTTTGCCCATCAAAAATGGCTATATCATTTCACGAGCTCACTTGCAAAGGCATACGGTAAGATAATTTGGCACTCGGTCTAAAATGCTCACAAGGTGCTATATAGGGGGGGGGGGGGGAAACGGCGAAAAAAAACGAAGTGAAACGGTCAAAAAAACCCCAGAAAAAGCCCTCTCTCTTAATGACTCAAAAGGAATTTCGGACGAGTTTCCCGTGGGCATCGTGCCAATAACCGCTACGGTAGATACGGCTGCATGTATGCACTCATATATCCATGCAGCACCGCGGCCGCTTCATATCAATCCCTTCGCTTCATATTTTACTTCGCAAATGAAGCAATACGAGCATCAGGTACGGTCGTCCATTTGTGGGCGGGCGGGCGCGATGGGCGTCCGGTCGGTACGTTGCAGCTCGATAAGGCTTTATAAGGGCACCTCCCCTGTGAAAGGCGCTACGCGGCCTACTCAGGGGCGCGCTTATTTCCCCTGTGTGATGATATCAGCACTGGAAGACGCAAAGAAAGGACTAGTGAGGCAGAGGTGGCAGGATATCGCACTGCGAGCATAAAACGCTGGTCTAGGGAACTCGTATAGAGAGGCTGCTAGGGGGTCCCTCTCGTGCTGTCGATGATTTTTTTTTGCTTTCTTCTTCCTTTGAGTCGCTATCAGCCACAGGTTCTTAACTGAACACTATAGACAACGAGCAATCGCGGCGTTTTGCTTTAACGATGTGTACTGTTGGCGGTGTAATATATTCAAAGTAACCAAAAACACCAACTTGTCACAGTCACTTCCGAAACCGAGCGCCTTTGTAAGACTTTCATCAACTGCAGACTTGTTGAAAAGGTGTGGCTGATTTCGTGACGGGCTGAATGTGATGGTCTCAACGAAACCGTCCGAAATTGCCAATACCACCGTCGGATTGAAGCTTGAAATGTTCTGAAAAAGGTAAGATAATGAAAATTGATCAATTGATACACATGCTGATACACACTGATATTTTGAAAGACATGAAAAAGGTTAACTTCTATTCTGATAACCTATGTGTGCTCGAAATGAACACAAGTCCGCTGGTAACCATATTTTTTTGCACTTAAAATTTCACTAATGATCGGGCGCCTTCATCCTGTGAAAAAAAAACTTTTGAAACCGATTGGGAAGGGAAGGAGAAGATTGAGAAAGTGCTTCGCACAGCTCTGTCTGTGAACCGAGCTGTAGCTACCCTGGCCAACTTTTACGTAATCAAAGGGAGCTGGATCTAAACTTAGCTAAACCGACAAAAAAACAGAATAGAGCTGAGAGCTGTGGAAACCCATGGTCGTGTTCCGCATAACTGAAATTCCATTGAATCCAAACGCTTTTCAACTTTCTTTTGTGAGTTCTTACGGCATTATTACTTGAACATTCACAGCACATTCTGGGTAACTTTCTCCAAAACACTGAGCAGAGCTGAACAATATAAAAACTATGTCTTTCGGTTCCCACGCCTTCCCAGCAAGCAGTCATCGATCTCAAGATGTAGTGATCGTGTAACTAGTATTGGGTTGGCACATAAGTACTTTCGTTTTTTTCAACCGGAAATTTCGTTCCAAAGATGAAATGTTTTGCTAGCAAGCTTGATATCATCTGATAGGAAACTTCACGTAGTTTTAGAATATCAAAACGGCTTCGGTTGAGGGAATAATTTTTGTGGATTTTTTAGTCGTTGAAGTTGAAAGCGAAGTCGGCGCGAAAATTAGCACCTTCGACAACTGCCTCTATTTACGTATAGTCGAAGTGCTAAAATCGCTTAAGCTGCTCCATACATTTGGAAAAGGTCGAGCTAGAAGTTCCAGCAAGGGAATCTCACTAGGACGCTTTGGAACGAATTTCAAGAATTTTGAAGTTACCAACCTTCACCTCGCCGATATTGGGCAGCTCAGCGTGCTGTTTCCACACATAAATTATGCTAATATTTGAACGTTTCGCTGATATGTTTTGCATGTTCTGATAGCAAATTCGTGCTCTATAACACTGCTGTAGAAATCTGTTCTCCAGAGGTGTTTGCTTTCTGCTGACAAGGGAAGGATACTAACTCGTCCTGGCCATTCAGAATGAGATGTATACTCCTAGAAGCGTCTTCGGACGCTGATATCAAATCTGGCTTCCAAATCTGCTAAACGATTCTGGTAGAAGTTACGGACCTTTTTTTGCTACTTGGCTTAAACCATTGCGGGCGCTTTCCCTGGCTATGCTTCGAGCCTGTATAACTCGCTTCGTGACCCATCGCCATCGTGGCTCGTGGCGCGCAGTAAGTAAGTGGATGGACTCATAGTCGTGCGATGGAGGTTCGAGTCCTTGATGCATTTCGTAGTTTTGCTTTTTCTTGAAACGTGCGCTCAACACTTGGGAAGTAGTTTTGCATACCTGTCCGACCACCAAGACAACTCCCTGCTCTTTATTGAGCCCCGCGAACGATTTTCGTGAAAAATTACACTTCTACCTAACTCGTTCATGCAAGGGACCAAATACACATGCATATCTGCCTGAAGTACGTGATCTGCGAGATTTCACAATCCTATAGAAATGAACAACGTGTGGCACACCGAAAAATATTTTCAATATGTTCGGTAGCTCCCACATCACCCCACGCACAACAATATCAGCCAACCCTCTGGCGACGGTGCCTACGCATATACTAAACGTAATATTAAGGCCACTGTTGAAGTACTACTTACCCCCATAAAACTCAAAAAAATTTTCCGTCTCGCTGAACAAAATAAACGTTGTCTACAGATGCAATTCTATGCCCTGATCACGGTTTTAACCCTCGTTTCGAGCGCTGGCGTCATTTGGCGCCATTATGCACCAATTTGGCGCCCACCACTTTTTTCCTCCAAAGTTGATGAAAACTTGCATATGGGGGTTAATTGAGGTCCTGATTAAGAATATCACACAGGTTTCCAGCGTTGGCGCGATTGCCCATATGCTCCAATGATGCGCAAATCGCGCCAGCGGCTAGCGACGAATTGCGGATCGCGTAGTATGCAGGAACCTCAATATAACCCCCAATGCAAAGATTTCATCGGACATATGTGAAAAAAATGATGGTGGTGGCGCCAACTTGGCGCAGAATGGCGCCAAATGACTCCAGCGCTCGAAACGAATGTGATATTCGTGATCTGGGCATCGAATTACACCTATAGACAACGTTTCAGCGAAAAAGTATTTTTTTGAGTTTCTGGGTACCCCGAATGATTCAATGGTCAATACGAGTCATTGTCGACACACTCGTAGACAACCTTGGCAGATGACATGCGAGGAAGGAGCTCGTCAGAAGACGACAGACAACGGATCCTCTCTAATCACGTGTGATGGCGATGAAGAAAGCTCCCCAGAGCTAGAAGAACAGCTACGTCACTTTGGGGATGTAAAGGTCCCGATAGAAAAGGTTCGCATTGTAACATCTTGCCCACTATATGGACTGGTCACTTATACAAGTCCATATCAATTATCGCACGTGTGGTTTAATAGAATGAATGCCCACTTGCCTTCACTCCGGTTCAAGTGGCGAAAAAAGTCGCAATCTAAATTGCAAAATATAATCAGTAAATAAAGCTGGCCATATCCAACACTAATGAAAATGAATGCTTTTCACTGAAGCAAATGAGAACCTCCTTCAAAAATAAACAATAGGTCCTATAAGCAGCAGGGAGGGGTCTTGGTGGTCGTACAGGTATGCAAAACTACTTCCCAAGTGTTGAGCGCACTTTTTAAGAAAAAGCAAAACTACGAAAACCACGCAATCAAAGCGACTTCGAACCCACCATCGGCAACCGACTATGAGTCGCACCCCTACCACTGCGCCACCGATCTACGCATGGCAGTTGGTTCAGAAGGGTTTACAAGCGCGAAGCATAAGCAGGGGGCGCACCGCAATGGTTAAGCACAGTAGCAAAAAAGGTCCGTAACTCCTCACCCAGAATCGTTTAGCAGATTTGGAAGCCAGATTTGATATCAGCGTCCGAAGACGCTTCTAGGAGTATACATCTCATTCTGAATGGCCAGGACGAGTTAGTATCCTTCCCTTTAAGTTCAGGTTATCATTACGGAACGCGAAGTCGTTGAGAACTAGCGTTCCCGTTCTCCACGAATTTTATGCTAACATTTGAATGTTTCGCTAATGTGTTCTATATGTTCTGATAGCCAATTTCGTGCTCTATAACACTGCGTTGCAGTTATTTTGAAAATCCGTTTGATGAACCTTGTTTTTCAGGTGGATAATATGGAATGTCAGGTCGATAAGCATCAGCACTTCAGACATCTCCTCCTTTTCGCATTCAACAGAGGTATCAGAGCTGCTGATGCTGCTCGGGAAATTCGCTAAGAGCTGTCCTAACACTAATCTGTTACTCTAAGCCTTACTCAAACCATGGCGATTCAATTGAGCTGCTCTAGGAGCTTTGAAGCTTCAGTGGACAGCGGTTGAGAGAGGAAGTCGGGAACTCCAATTCTGTATTGGGTTGGCACATAAGTACTTTCGTTTTTTTTCAACCGGAAATTTCGTTCCAAAGATGAAATGTTTTGCTAGCAAGCTTGATATCATCTGATAGGAAACTTCACGTAGTTTTAGAATATCAAAACGGCTTCGGTTGAGGGAATAATTTTTGTGGATTTTTTAGTCGTTGAAGTTGAAAGCGAAGTCGGCGAAAATTAGCACCTTCGACAACTGCCTCTATTTACGTATAGTCGAAGTGCTAAAATCGCTTAAGCTGCTCCATACATTTGGAAAAGGTCGAGCTAGAAGTTCCAGCAAGGGAATCTCACTAGGACGCTTTGGAACGAATTTCAAGAATTTTGAAGTTACCAACCTTCACCTCGCCGATATTGGGCAGCTCACGTCTGTTCCACCTGAAATTTTATGCTAATATTTGAATGTTTCGCTGATATGTTTTGCATGTTCTGATAGCAAATTTCGTGCTCTATAACACTGCTATAGAAATCTGTTCTCCAGAGGTGTTTGCTTTCTGTTAAGTTCAGGTTATCATTACGGAACGCGAAGTCGTTGAGAACTAGCGTTCCCGTTCTCCACGAATTTTATGCTAACATTTGAATGTTTCGCTAATGTGTTCTATATGTTCTGATAGCCAATTTCGTGCTCTATAACACTGCGTTGCAGTTATTTTGAAAATCCGTTTGATGAACCTTGTTTTTCAGGTGGATAATATGGAATGTCAGGTCGATAAGCATCAGCACTTCAGACATCTCCTCCTTTTCGCATTCAACAGAGGTATCAGAGCCATTCTTGAAGCGTCTGAACCATTTGGGCTGTTTTGAGAGAGATGGCATCTTCTTCGTACACGTA